GGAACCAGCACCAGAAGGGCCCAGTCTGCTTGTGGGAAGTGGCAGAAGAGACTGAAATCCAAGAGAGAGTAGAGTAAGTACCGTTATTCCCTCTCTGACCCCGTCTCCACATACAGTGTCACAACCCAGGAACTGGGTTGCCTCACCCTGGTGAACACCTAAAACTCTGCCCCTCATATATAACAGACCAAAAAAAAAAAAAAAAAAAAAAAGAAAAGAAAAAGGGCGGGGGAGGGGGGCTCAAACAGAAGAACAGATCAAAGCCCCAGAGCCAATACACCTAAGCTACCAAGAGACAGCCAACCTATCAGATGAACAGTTCAAAGCACCAGTGATCAGGAAGCTCACAGAATTGGTTGATTTTGGTCCCAAATTAGATGAAAAAATGAAGGCTATGCTAAGTGAAATGAAGCAAAAGACAACGGGAACCAATAGTAATGGGAAGGAAACTGGGACTCAAATCAATCAAGTGGACCAGAAGGGAGAAAGAAACAACCAAACAGAAAAGAATGAAGAAACAAGAATTCAAAAAAGTGAGGAGAGGCTTAGGAACCTCCAGGACAACTTTAATGTTCCAACATCCGAATAATAGGGGTACCAGAAGGGGAAGAGGAACAGCCACGAGTGGAAAACTTATTTGAACAAGTAATAAAGGAGAACTTCCCCAATCTGGCAAAGGAAATACACTTCCAGGAAATCCAGAATGCTCAGAGAGTCCCAAAGAAGTTGGACCCAAGAAGAAACACACCAAGGCACATCATAATTACATTAGCCAAAATTAAAATGAAGGAGAGAATCCTAGAAGCAGCAAGAGATAAGGGGACAGTCACTTAGAAAGGAGTTCCCATCAGACTGTCCGTGGATTTCTCAAAAGAGACCTTACAGGCAAGAAGGGGCTGGAAAGAAGTATTGCAAGTCATGAAATCCAAAGACCTACATCCAAGATTGCTCTATCCAGCAAAGCTTTCATTTAGAATGGAAGGACAGATAAAGTGCTTCTCAGATAAGATCAAATTCAAGGAGTTCATCATCACCATGCCCTTATTATATGAAATGTTAAAGGGACTTACCTAAGAAAAGAAGATAAAAAATATGAACAGTGAAAGGACAGCAAACTTGCAGTTATTAACAGCCACACCTAAAACAAAAGCAAACTGAGAGGACAGCTAGATCAGGAGAGGAACCATAGAAATGGAGATCACATGGAGGGTTAACAACAGGGAAGTGGGAGGAGAAGAAGGAAGAAGGTACAGAAAATAAGTAGCACAGATGGTAGGTAGAAAATAGATAGGGAGGAGGGAAAGAATAGTATGGGAAATATAGAATCTAAAGAACTTGTGACACATGAACATAAACTAAAGAGGGGGAATAGTGGGGGAGGGGGTGTGTATGGTGGAGGGGAATGAAGGGGGGAATGGGACAACTGTAATGGCATAATCAATAAAATATATTTTAAAAAGCATAGATGGTAGGTAGAAAATAGGCAGGGAGAGGTTAAGAATAGTGTAAGAAATGTAGAAGCTAAAGAACTTAGGACGTGTGGACATGAACTAAAGGGGGGAATGTGTGTGTGAGGGGCTGTGCAGAGTGGAGGGGAATGAAGGAAGGGGAATGGAAAACTGTAACAGCATAATCAATAAAATGTATTTTTTAAAAATTGAAAGGTTATTTGAAAAAATAATGAAGGAGAAGTTCCCGAATCTGGCAAAGAGTCTTTCAGGAAGTCCAGGAAGCTCAGAGAATCCCATAAAAGTTGGACCTAAGGAAGCACACACCAAGGCACATTATAATTACATTACCCAAGATTAAAGATAAGGAGAGAATCTTGAAAGCAGCAAGAGAAAAGGAGAGAGTTACCTACAAAGAAGTTCCCATTAGATTACCAGCTGATTTCTCAAAAGAAACCTTATAGGCAAGAAGGGTCTGAAAAGAATTATTTGAAGTCATGAAAGGCAAGGACCTACATCTAACCTACATCTAATATTACTCTCTCCAGCAAAGGTATCATTTAGAATGGATGGGCAGATAAAGTGCTTCCTAGATAGGGTTGAGGTAAAGGAGTTCATCGTCACCAAGCTGTTATCGTATGAAATGGAACATCGATAAGAAATATGAACAGTAAAATGACAACACACTCACAAGTATCAACAACTGAACCTAAAAAACAAACAAAGAAACAAACAAAAAAACCAAACTCAGAACAACTAGAACTGGAACAGAATCACAGAAATGGGAATCTCACAGGTTGTTATCAGTGGGGAGGGGGAGGGAGGAATGGGTGAAAAGGTACAGGGAATAAGAAGCATAAATAGTAAGTACGAAATAGACGGGTTGCTCAAGAATAGTACAGGAAATGGAGAAGCTAAAGAACTTATATGTATGAGTGAAGTAAGGGCAGGGAATGCTGGTTGGAGTCGGGGCAGGGCAGTGGGGTGATAAAAGAGAGAAAAAATGGGACAACTGTAATAGCATAATCAATAAAATATACTTCAAAAATAAATTTTCACTTTTGTCTATAGGTGTATAATTATGGGGGATCTTTTTTTCCTGTATTTTCAAGGTTTCCCTTAAGCATGTTTTATAATCATATACAATCAATCCTTTTCTTTTTTAATGGGGGGCAGTGGTATATTATAAAAGTAAATATGAACAGAGTAATTCATGAGTGACAGCGAGGTAGGTGACTTTGGGAATTTGTATGCTGAAGGAGCTCTATTTTCTCATAGTTTTAGAGCCTTTCAGGGAAATATTCTCAAATAACTTAAAGTTTCTGACTTCCCACAGAGGAGGTGAACTTTCACAAGAAAGAAAGGCTTCCTGATTCCTCAGTCCCCTCACCTGGGCACAGACCTCTTGTTAACCCTCTCTCCACAGTCCAGGATGTCCTTACTACAAAGAAAAATCATTCCTAACTTACAGAATCAACTTCCTACATATAGAAAAAGAAATAGGCCTTAGCCAGTGTGGTAGATATTACTAGTTTTATTACTAATGTTTCATCACCATTGTCCAGTTTTCCAGTTATCCAGTTTTCACCTCCTTCTGGGTACACAGAAGATAACATATTTCATGCCCTAGCAGTTAGGTAGGGCCATAATCTGGTTGTAGTCAGTTAAATATGAGCTGAAGTGATGTGTCACTTCAGTCTGAAGCACTGCGAAAACTGCACAGTTCCCTAATTTTTCTATTCCGTGATGTGGTGGCAAAGGAAGCTGTGTGTTCAGGGTGGTACAGCTATAAGTTGGTGGAGCCTCCTTCGGTCTAGGACCCTGTCTATGCTGGCTGACACTGGACATGGAATGTGAGCAAGAAATAAAAAGTTATTTTGTAAATCATTGAGGTTTGGGGGTTGTTTGCACACAGAGTACGATACTTATCCTAACTAATATACTAATTCAGTTATACTATGACTATATCAAAATTCGACTCAAAGCCTTGGTCAATATGAGAAAGAACAATTAGGAAGAAGAGGAAGCTACAGAAATAACAGAGTAGAGGTGTCCATTTCCAACTCTGCACATCTCAAAGAGATTTTTCACAAACCCACAACATCAAACAAAAGGCCCTAAAAAGGCAGATTAGAAATAATGTCACAAGTTGATCTTGACCTAGCAAAACCATGCTCCTCTAGATCTCTTAACATCAGATTTGTATAATGCAAATTCTAAGCAAAACTTGGCCATCTATGTAAAACCTAGTAAAGCTTGATGCTAGATTTTTCCCTATCTCTAAATTGACAGATATTCTTACTTTTTTAGAGACCATGCATAAGTCCTACATCACACAGGATCTGGGCTGGGGGACTGGGAGTTTGGGGGGTGTTGCCAGGTTATGAGAACTAGATATTACATAGGTCTCTCCACCTTAACTATTCTTGAAAAAGCAATCTTTCTGAGTGAAAATCTCTACCCAGAAGGCTTTTCTCCAATATTTAGAAAGTGAAAAATATAATGCATCACATTAAATGCAAAACCCCCACATTATTTCCTAAAACACAATTAAACAACACAAACTACATAAGTAATAAACTATTATATTTGGACAAAAATTAAAATATCACTTGCTGATCACCAAACATCTGATGGCCAAACAAAATTATGGTTATTAACAGCTAGTTGCTTTGTGTGCAACAACATGGCCTCTCTTAATATCATGAACATCTGCACATCCATTTTGTTGATATATACCAATCTATATACTAATCAAAATATTTATATAACTCTATGGTTTTACTAATTGTACTTCTGATGTAATTTGAAACTTTTCCTATGTGTCATATTTTAAAATGTTGTGTTGAATTATATGGATATAAACCTAAGATTTTCCAGTATACACATTAACCAAAAATCAATACATTACAGACATGTACATTCTCAGGCAATATTCAGTATCCTGAGTCATACAATAGCAGGTTAAATGAATGAAACATTTCTATAAAATAGTAATTCTGAATACTTACAAATTTAGTACTTATGTAATAATCAATACATAGAAATTGTTCAAAATATGACCAGTGGGAAAAAAGTAGATTATGAAACTGCTGAGCGCTGGCCAGTGATGTGGGTTTGATTCCCAGTCAGGGCACATGCCTAGGTTGCAGACTTGTTCCCCAGTTGGGGCATGTGCAATAGACAACCAATTTTTGTTTCTCTCTCACATCAATGATTCTCTCCCTCTCTTTTTCCCCCTCTTCTCCTCTAAAATAAATAAATAAATAAATAACAGAAAAAGGACCCATGGGCATGGACAACAGTGTGGTACTTGTGGGGGTGATGGTGGAGGTAGGAGGGAAGAGGGTATAAGGCGATAAATGGTAATGGAAAGAATACGATTAAAAAAAAAAAGATTCCTGTGGTTACCTCTGGGCTGTGATCTCTAATTTTCTTAGTTTTACCTAAGTGTATTTTTTCAATAACAATGCATTAATTTTTAAATGTGTATTTTAAAATTCTATAAAAATTGTAAGCTGTTTCCAAATAGCAGATAAAAAAAATACTTACTTTAAAAATACCTTCCTTTGAACATGAAATAATAGCTCAGGGTATTCTAAAAACAGCTGTATTTTTATAGATGCCTTTTGTTGTTTTTGCTTCATCAGCTCCCAATAGTTGAAAACTTCTTGATTTGGTAACTATATTCATGTGTACTGGAGTCCTGCCTGGAAAAAAACTAAAAGTCACTTGTCTATGTCCTCTGTATAAGTGATGCTTTTCTTTTCAGCCTTTCTTCCCAGATCAGTTTATTATGTTTCTGCACCTGTCCTATTTGCCCCAATGTTCTCCAAACAGCTACAGAATCGTTGTGTTCCATCCATTGGTCAATACCTTGGATTACCTTCTGATAATTAGAATGAAAACTGCAGGGAATATAGATCATTCAAGAAAATGAATCCATTTTCACAAAGTTCTTATTGGATCAGTTGACGTAGATACGATATATGATATGACATGATAACAGCTACTCGGGTCATACAAATATCTCCCTATTATGAATTCTCACAGTATACTTATCAGGCCACACTAGTCCCCTTTATCATCCTTTACTTTGGTTATTTGTATAAAAATTTAATCTCTCCTATAACATTATGTGCAATTTAAAAAGTGAGCATAACTTTAAAAAATATTTCATTTCTCTGAATTCTAGTAGATTTTTCATATTTGCAAATTCTTAATAAATGTGTAATGCCCAACCCCAATAAATTCACTACAAAAACATACAAAGTTGGCCCCGGCTGGTGTAGCTCAGTGGATTGAGCTCGGGCCTGCGAACCAGACAATCCTGGTTCGGTTCCCAGTCAGGGCACATGCCTGGGTTGCAGGCCAGTTCCCTGCAGGCCAGTTTCCAGCAGGGGACACATGAGAGGCAACCATACATTGATGTTTCTCTCCCTCTCTCCTTTCTTTTCCCTCTAAAGATAAATAAATAAAATCTTAAAAAAAAACATACAAAGTTGTATGTACAGGAATACTTTGGGGACTATTTCAAAATTAAAATATAGAAACATAAGTACTTTCTAGTAGGCAATAAAATAAATACATTAAGGTGTATCTCAGTAATGAAATACAATACAGTGATTTTATAATGTAACAGTAGTGCTCTGATCAGGTAGCTCAGCAGGCTAGAGTGCCGTCCTGAAATGCCAAGGTTGTGGGTTCAATCTCCAGTTAGGGCACATACAAGAAGCAACCAATAAATTACATAAATAAGTGCACAACAAATCAATGTTTCTCTCACTCTCCTTTCCTCTCCTTCTTGAAAATCAATAAATAAAATATTTTAAAAAGTATTTAAAAAGTAACAGTACCATAGCAATGCACTATTAAGCAAGGCAGGCAGGTTACAGAATTTATAAAGTGATACCAGAGTGATATCAGCAGGATGGATGCATGAGAGGTCCTCCAGCTTTTTGCTCTTGTACAAGCTGCACAACTACAATTCAACAAAGAAGTCCCTGTTCAATACACAAACATGTCTGAGAGATCCCTGCATTGAAACAACTGAAGGTGGGCACATTTGAGAGAACAGGGGAGGATGGAGATGGGTGCTACAGATCCAAAATGTGGAGCTCACTGTGACTCCAGAAAACTCAGGAGCAGGGGAGGAGTTGGGTTACAGTGGACACACTCTGCAGCCCTAAGGAGCAGGGGCTAAAATCAACACTCCTGCCTAAGTAGTCAGCACATACTGCATGTGAACTCAGTGACAGAGGCAGAAAGGAACATAAAGGTGTGCCGGCTGTGGTCTAGCAGCTGCCATTACTGGGTAGAAAATAAAGCCCCAGCCCTGGCTGGTGTAGCTCAGTGGATTGAGTGCAGGCCTGTGAACCAAAGGGTCACTAGTTCGATTCCCAGTCAGGGCACATGCCTGGGTTGCAGGCCAGTTCCCAGCAAGGGATTCACAAGAGGCAACCATATATTGGTATTTCTCTCCTTCTCTCCTTCCCTTCGCCTCTAAAGATAAATAAATAAAATCTTTTTAAAAACCTCAAAAAAAAAAAGAAAACAAAGCCCCAGATACATAGCTGCTTCCCCTCACCTCCCAGAGAAGTGGCCCTCGCAGACCCTGTAGCTGCTAAGTGTTAGGTTGCAACACACACTCTCTAGGCAGCCCTGAAGACTAGAAAAGCAGAAACATTTCTCTCTAAGCGGCAGGCACATACTGTGGCTAAACCCACTGACAGGAACACAGAGACACAGAGATGTGTCAACCGAGGTCTGGCAGCCACCATTACTGGAAGGAGAACAAGGTAAAAAATACAGGAACAGGCTCAACTTGTCCCCATCCATTGCAGTGGAGGCACCTGGGATACCTCAGGCAGCACAGCATTGCTGGAAGCATCTAGTTGCAGGAGGCAGCACTAGCATCTCAGGAGCCCCACTGTCCATGACATTTCCCCACTAGCATAGAGCCCTGAGACAAAGGAGACCTGTTGACAGAGGGGATGCCTACCTTCCCAGGGAGGACAGGGCATTTTCCACAGGTGAGGTAACACCATCCTACAGAGATCCCAGAAGCCCCAGCAGTGCAAGTTAAGAGAAAAATAAAACTTGTGCCACCTACTGGAAAACAAAAGAAAGACTTTTACTTACCAGCCTAAAACAGTGAAGCACTGAATACCTGTTAAAAAAGCAAATTTCATTCCTATAAAAGCAGAAACATAGTCCATCAAATACCACGAGTAATCAAGGTAACTAGGTAGCTGAGAAACAAAATAAAGAACCTCCAGAAAATAAGCTTAAAGACATAGAAACATGATTGAAATGATAGAGATTGCCATTCTGAAAAAACTCAACAGGATACAAGATAACTCAGAAAGATAGTTTAATGAACTCAGAAATAAAATCAATGAACAAAACAAGTACTTTACCAAAGAAATTAAAACTATAAAAATAATATAATTCTGGAGCTGAAGAACTCAATAATAAAAAGAGAAAAAGAATGAGCTTAAGAAACAGACCAGACCAGATGGACAAAAGACTTAGTGATACTGCCCTGGCTGGTGTGGATCAGTTGGTTAGAGAGTTGTCCCTGTACAACAAAGGGTCTCTGGTTCTATGCCTGGTCAGGGCACATACCTAGATTGCAGGTTCCATCCCTGGTCAGGTTGCCAACAAAAGGCAGCTGATCAATGTCTGTCTGTCTGTGTCTCTCTCTTTCTTCCCCTCTTTCTAAAAATCTGTGAACTTATTCTCAAATGAGAATAAAATAAACCTTAAAAAAACAGAATTACTTCCGCCAAGATGGAGGCATAGGTGGAAGCACTGTACCTTCTCACACAACCAAGTTTAAAAACAACAAAGTTTTAGCAACAAAAATGCAGCCAAACCACAGAAAACTGAACTATATGGAAGTCTGACAACAATGAACCCTTCAGCTAAACCGGTAAGATGGGCAGACCCAGCAGCAGAGTGGGGTTGGGCAGGAAAGATCCACCAGACCGACCTGGGCGCATGACCCAGGTAGCCAGCAGCTGTGGGTGGATCCCAGGTGTAGAGAAGCGGGTGGACCCACTGAGGGCTGATTTCAGTCACACATTCACGTGCAGATAAACTGGTGAAGGAGATAGCAGTGAGACGGACCTCACCATGCAGGCCCCAGTGGTGGTAAGTGGCAGAGGGAACCGCCATTGTCCCTCTCTGACCCTGCCATACATACAGCGTCACAAGCCAGCAACCTGGGTGACCCCTCTCGGACAACTCCCCCACATATAGCGTATGGTCACAAACCAGCGATCTGGGTGGCCTGCCCTGGTGAACATCTAAAGCTCCACTCCTCATAGGTAACAGGCACAAACAGATGAAAACATGGCTCAAGAACAACTCAGAGCCCCAGAGCCAATAAATCTAAGCGATGAAGAAATAGCAAAACTTTCTAAAACACTGGTGACCAGGATGCTCACAGAACTGGTTGATTTTAGTCACAAATTAGAGGAACACATGAAGACGAAACTAATTGAAATGAAGGGAAATGCACAGGAAACCAATAGTAATGGAAAGGAAACTGGGACTCAAATCGAAGGACTGGACCAGAAAGAGGGGAAAAATGACCAAACAAAAAAGGATGAAGAAACAAGAATTCAAAAAAATGAGGAGAGGCTTAGGAACCTCCAGGACACCTTTAAACGTTCCAACATCTGAATTATAGGGGTACCAGAAGGGGAAGAGGAACAGCCACGAGTGGAAAACTTATTTGAACAAGTAATAAAGGAGAACCTCCCCAATCTGGCAAAGGAAATACACTTCCAGGAAATCCAGAATGCTCAGAGAGTCCCAAAGAAGTTGGACCCAAGAAGGAACACACCAAGGCACATCATAATTACATTAGCCAAAATTAAAATGAAGGAGAGAATCCTAGAAGCAGCAAGAGATAAGGGAATAGTCACTTAGAAAGGAGTTCCCATCAGACTGTCCGTGGATTTCTCAAAAGAGACCTTACAGGCAAGAAGGGGCTGGAAAGAAGTATTCCAAGTCATGAAATCCAAAGACCTACATCCAAGATTGCTCTATCCAGCAAAGCTTTCATTTAGAATAGAAGGACAGATAAAGTGCTTCTCAGGTAAGATCAAATTCAAGGAGTTCATCATCACCAAGCCCTTATTATATGAAATGTTAAAAGGACTTACCTAAGAATAGAAGATAAAAAATATGAACAGTGAAAGGACAGCAAACTCGCAGTTATTAACAGCCACACCTAAAACAAAAGCAAACTGAGAGGACAGCTAGATCAGGAGAGGAACCATAGAAATGGAGATCACATGGAGGGTTAGCAACAGGGGACTGAGAGAAGGAGAAGGGGGGAGAAGGTACAGAAAATAAGTAGCATAGACGGTAGGTAGAAAATAGATAGGGGGGACGGCAAGAATAGTAGGGGAAATATAGAATCTAAAGAACTTGAGACACATGGTCATAAACCAAAGGGAAGGAATGGTGGGGGAGGGGGTGTGCAGGGTGGAGGGGAATGAAGGGGGGGAAATGGGACAACTGTAATGGCATAATCAATAAAATATATTAAAAAAACAGAATTAGTGATATTGAAGATAGAAATCTAGAAATGACCCAGATGAAGTGTAAGATCTGAGAGTAAAAATAGAGAAAAACTCTAGGAGAAATATCTGACTCCATCAGAAAGAGCAGTATAAGAATAATGGGTTAACCAGAAGGAGATGAGAGGGAGGAGGGACTGAGAGTGTATTGAAATAAATAACCAATAGAAAGAACTGATCCTTGAATTCAAGAGGCTAACACAACACCTAATTATCTCAATCCAAAAAAGGCTTTCTCCAAGGCACATTGTATTAAAACTCAAAAATTTATGACAGAGAATTCTCAAGGCATCTAGGAAAAAGTAGATGGTAACCTAAAAAGGATCCCATTAGATTATTATAGGGGTTTTCAACAGAACCCCTATAAAAACTAGAAAAGAGTTTCTGTACCTAGATCCAAATATTCAAATTATTGAAAGAGAAATCACCAGCTAAGAATAATTTATCTGGCAAAGTTATCCTTTAGATATGAAAGAGAAATAAAGGCTTTTCCAGACATACAGAAGCTGAGGAAATTCACAAGACCTGAATTACAGGAAATACAGAAGGGTGTTTGTTCTTCTACCTGAGACAAAAAGAAAAAAGAACTCAAAATTATGAGTAAGATGACAAGCAGAGAGAAACAGAAAACTATAATCCTTATTCAGAATAGGATATCAAACGATAAATATAACATAAACATTAAAGGAGGCAAAAACATTAAAAAAAGAACACAATACCTACTGCAAGTTGGAAATGAACTCACAGCATCAAGAGGGATGATTTGTGAAAACAAAAACATAAAAGAGGAGGGGGAAAAGGTCTGAATTTGCACAAAGGAATGGAAAAGGTACAATCAGAAGAAAAAGAACTACTATGTATCTGAAACTAAACTTTCTTTTACATAAGCCTAATGGTAACCACACATGCACACTCACATACAAATCTAGAACTGAAACTCGTAACAAAAAAACAACCCATACAAACAAAAAGAAGAAAGAAAGGGAAAAAAATCATAGGATTTTGGTGGTATCATAAGATACCACCAAACTAAAATCACAGACAGAAACACATGAGAAAAGAAACAATGAAAGCACAGAACTATCAGATAACAAAATATAAATAAGCTTAAAAATCCTCACATATCTATAATCACCCTAAATGTAAATGGACTGAACTCACCAATAAAAAGGGCACAGAATAGTGAGATTGATAAAAACCCAACACCACCACCAATAAAAACAGCAACAAAAACTGTATGCTCCCTTCAGGAGATACATCTTAGCTGCAAAGACAAACACATAATCAAAGTAAAGGGGTGGAAAAGGATACTCCAAGCAAATGGCATCCAGAGAAAAGCAGATGTAGCCACACTTATAACAAAATAGATTTCAAGATTAAATTAAAAAAAGTAACGAGACAAAGATGGATAGTTTATACTGATAAAGGAAAGAATACATCAAAAAGACATACTTATTAATATATATGCACCCAACCTGACAGCACCAAAAGATATAAAGCAATTATACAAACAGAACTAAAGGTAGAAACTGACAAAAATATAATCATATAGGGGACCTAAATGCCCCATTGATAGCTATAGACAGATCATCCAAAAAGAAAATCAATAAGGAAATATCTTCCTTAATGACACATTAAACCAAATAGACATAATTGATATTTACAGAGTTTTTCATACCAGAACACCAGATTATAAATTCTTCTCTAATGCACCTGGAATATTCTTAAGGATAGACCATACATTAGGGAAACAAAACCAGCTTTGATGAATTTAAGAAGATTGAAATCATACCAAACATATTCTTCAGTCACAATGCTTTGAAATTTAAAATCAACTGCAAAAAGAAAGCAGGAAAAATCACAAATATGTGGAAGTCAGACAACATGCTACTAAACAACAACAGGGTTAAAGAAGAAATTTTTTAAAAGCTCAAAAGATTTCACCATTAACAGGAACCTAATCAACAAAATGAATAAGCAAGCCAAATATAGCCAAAGACAATGAAATTGAGAACAGGCTGAGAGTGATCAGAAGGGAGAGGGGAGGGGATAAAGGAGGAAAAGGGTGAAGGGTTTTCAGGAACAATTATAAAGGACACATGGACAACAACAAGGGGAGTGTGGAAATGGGGGAGGGTGTCCGGGAGGGCTGGGATGGTGGGAAGAGGTGGGGAAAAAGGCAGAAAACTGTACTTGAACAACAATAAAAAAACCAAATAAAAATAACAAAATAACAAAAGATACCATAAAGACAAATGAGAATGACAATATGACATATCAAAATTTTTAGGATACAGCAAAAATGGCAATAGTTTATAGTATTACAGGTCTACCTCAAGAAGCAAAAAAAAATCTCAAATAACCCCACACTACACTTTTAAGAACTGAAAAAACAACAAATGAAGCCTAAGGTCAGTAAAAGGAAGGAAATAAGAAAAATTAGAAGAAAAAGAAAACCACTGATGTGAGAGAGAAACATCGATTGGTTGCCTCCTCTAAGTGCCCCAACAGGGATCA